ACTGGTGGCAACTTTTAAATTGTCTTCATTCTTTAAATTGTCTGGGTTTTTAAATTAAAGCATACAAGCTGAAAACTGAACATCACACAGGCAAACCACCTTATCCTGTTACATTTTTTCTGCATTGAGCTGCCCACCGTGGCTGCTCATTAGGATATTTCTGCACAAAGAATAAGAGCTTTCTGTACCCAGGCTCCTGGGTCTGAGCAAGCCATTCACACTCGTGACATTTCAGTCTGTGTGGACATGTTTCTGAAAAGAACACTGGATTAATTCACATCTTGAGGCACCACAAAATCCTTAATGTAAGGACCTTTGTCTCACTTTTTAAGCAGAAGTAATGGCATCGAGGGCAGAAAATGTGAAGATACTGCTTCAGATATCAGATGGCATCAGATCTGTCAGTCTAGATACTACCAACAAATACAGATTGTGCCCAGATCAATTCACTGTCAGTTTTCCCTAAGTCAAAGTTGCAAGTCATTACCAAATGGCAAGAATACCCTCCTTTGGACAATATGTATAAATTGAGGCCTAGCTGCTTAAAAAGAGTATCCTTGAGCCTATATTTGGAAACATAATAGAGGCCATAACCATATACTGATGGATAAATACTAAACCATAATCACACTGATGACAATCTGTGTGAATAAAGAGAACAGGGCAAATCTTTAACTCAGACTAAGTAATGAAAAGGTATGAGACAAAGAATCATAGAATGGTTTGAGTTGGAAGGGACACTAAAGATCGTGTAGTTCCAACCCCCTGCCATGGGCAGGGACACCTTCTACTAGCCCAGGTTGCCCAAAGCCCCGTCCAACCTGGCCTTGAACCCTGCCAGGGAGGGGGCAGCCACAGCTTCTCTGGGCAACCTGTGCCAGTGTCTCACTGCCCTCACAGTGAAGAGTTTTTTCCTTATATCTAATCTCAATCTTCTCCCTTTCAGTTTAAAACCACTATCCCTCGTCCTATCCCTACAGCCCCTGATCAAGAGTCCCTCCCCACCTGTCCTGTAGCTCCTTTAAGTACTGGGAGGCCGCTCTAAGGTCTCCCCAGAGCCTTCTCCTCTCCAGGCTGAACACCCCCAACTCGCTCAGAAACAATGTAATAATTAAAGTAACCAGCAACATCAGGTAAAATGTGTAAGTACTGTACAGCACTGCCAGAGAACATCACTGAACTTCATAATAGGAGAGACTGCTCAGCAAGTTCACTGCAGTTCCTTCCAATGTGACAGGCACTTGCTACATCATCTGAGAACAAAATGTCTCAAAAGTTGTTTCCTCCCCAAAATATAATTTGCTTACAAAGGAAAATAGATCAGACTATGTTGCAGCTGGGGTTGCACTTATTGTCAATTGTAAAGTGTGGTTTGGTTTATTTAAATACATATTCAGATATTCAGTAAAATGTGAGCTGTAATTTTTTTCAGGTTTTCTAGTCAAATAAACCTAACTGTTCTGGAGTTTCTTTGCATTGTTTTAGAAATAAATAAGATCCAAAGTAATTATAATTCAATCGAAATTACCATTTTCAATCTTGAAAAGTGAATCTGTAAATGATATTGCATGTACACACAAAGGGTTCCCGTCAGACAAAGGCCATTGCTGCCATCTGCTGAGGAGGAGAGAAAATGGGACATAAATGGCCAAGTGTCAAAAATCCTTTCCTATTTGCCATTTCAGGCAGAAATTCCTACAAAAGTGATGCCAGCAAGCCCAGCCCCTCATGATCCACGAGGTGAACAACTTAAATCTGCATTTTTTTCTTCAACTCCTCCGAAAACAACACTGAAACAAAACCAATGGAGCACAGCAGTTTGGAACAGTCTTTATGTGGTTAGTTTAGTGTATTCAGCTGAGGGAATGAGCAAACACTTTCCAGGGTAACATCTCCATTTCATGACTGGTGTAATGCCAGCATTTCTGATGCATGGAAGCACTGCATACCATACCGTTGGAGGTTAAACTTTTAGAACAATGTAGTAATATTATGCTTAGGTCAAGAAAGATGATCATTGTATATGTTAAAGCCAAACGGCATCCCTAATCAGAAGAACAAGTAGATATCCCTCTTCGAGCAAGGACATCCCCCAACAATTAGACCTGGAAGAGGCTACATTGCCAACTGGGCAAGCAAACTCAAGGCCCATGTATCCTCAGCTCAATTACCCTTATTATAATACCAAACATCACACCTGTAGGTCAAAAAGACCCTTGTGCAGGTGAAGACCCTTCCCCTGAGCATGCACAGAAGTATCTTGTCAGCAGTATTATAACTGTATATAAATTGCTAACCAGTCATCCTAGAGGGTGACTTGGAAAACTACTAACTCTGCGAAATTTGTGTATAAATATAGCACAGAAAGTCCTGATGACACATGTGCTTGATTTGTGGGAGACCACTGAGCACCTAGGCTTGTGCAACCCTAAAATAAATAAGCAATGTCTCTCCTGAGCATGTGATTATTGATACACGGGCGACAAATCCGCTTTTTGGACAACAGTACGTTCACTACACGCCACAGGGTCACACGCTACATGACCACCGCATAATAACTCAAGTACCATCTCGGCAGATGCCGATAGGTTCCTCCGAAGGAGCCAGCCCGTGTCGCTAAGCAGTATTCCAGGGCAGCGGGGGCGACTCCGAGGGGGCCCCCCGGCCTGCACACGCCCGGCCGGCCGCTCCCACCCCCACATGCCTCGGGCCTCGCCGCCTCGGGAGCGGCTCCTGGGGAGGGACCCGGCACCCCTGGGCGGCCCACAGCAGCACTGGGGATGGGGATGGGGATGGGGATGCGGCCCCAGCGCCACCCTCCGCCCTCCCTCACTCAGCAAGGGCCCGCCCGCCCCGCGGAGCTCGGCACCGCCTCCCGAGAGAGCCCCTGCCGTGAGTGGAGCAAGCTTCTGATCGGTGTTCGGGAGGGCCAATCAGAGCGTGCCTGCCAAGGTAGGCGAGCCAATGGGGAGGAGGGGAGGCGGGCCGCTGGCCGGAACGCTATGCAGGGCAACA